CTGCATGCATCCTGTGACCGAGTCTGCTCTGGGGCCAGGTGACAGGGTGAAGAGAGGAAAAAAAGGCAAGCGGACTCCTCCCCACCGCACGTGCCTTTCAAACCACAGTTCTCTGGGTCAGAAGGAGTTCCTCTGAGCTTTAAGTGCTTTCCTGGCTTCCACTGCTAGTGCTGCTGCTGGGTTTCCACTTCATACGAGGCCTGCCCAGGGACGAGACTATATAAGGAAAAAAAAAAAGGACAAAAAAGGGATTTCTGTCCTGAAGAGTCCTCCCTCCCTACTCCTCAGACCAAGAAGACAAGGCTGCTCTTGGAGGCCTTTCTTTCCATGTCCCCAGCACAGCCCCAGGATTCACGCTGCCTCGGAGACCAGGCCAGCAGATACCAGGGCAAAAAGCAAAACAGGAGGCTTGTCATCAGATTTTTATATCCCAAATTCTGGTTTCCTCTCCCAGTCCACCTGCTACCACTTCTTTTTGAGAGTCCTCAGAGAGCTGCTTCCTGCATTCCATCCTGGGTTGTTAGTTGCATTCGGGGGAAGAACAGACTATACTTATCAGTCTTAGAACTGGACCCTCAGAAATGGTGTTTTTAAAAATAAAGGCTCATTTGTGGAAAAAGGAAAATAAATATAGTGCATCTACAACACGATCCTCAAGTCAGCACTTTGGTACTGTGGCGTCTTTCCTTCTTTCCAAATAATTTTTGTTCATCATTGAGAAGATACGATTTTGGAACCTCCTTTTTAAGTTATTTTAATATTCAGGATGGGATATGGCAAGACCAGGATTTCACATCCCAAGTGGGAGACGTTGGAGTTGAGAGGTCCCGAGAGGGTCCAAGCCCACAAATCTTTCTAGACCCTTTGGCAAAATACCGGTAATGCCTTTTCCCTGAAGAAAAAAATGTCTTGCTGATGGAGTTGGGGAACACCCAGCAGACACCCCGTGTGAATCGGGCAGACCCCATGCACCCCTATAACCTCACAACCTTGCTCTGTGGTTCACACCAGAGTGGGGAGCCAGGAGTGGCAGAACCCCAAGAATTAGGAGGTGAGAACTTGTCCTGCTGTCCCGTCTTTGTGCAAGATGGTTGCTGTAACCTGAATGTGTCTTCCTAAAATTCACGTGTTGATGATGGGAGGTGGGGCCTTTGGGGGGTAATTAGGCAATGAGGTCACAAGAGTGGAGCCCTAGTGAATGGGATTATTCCCTTTATAAATGAAGCCTGTGACCCAGAAGCAGGCTGTCATCCAATCATGCTGCCACCCTGGCCTCAGACTTCCAGCCTCCAGAACTGGGAGCAATACCTTTCCGTGGCTCATAAGCCAGCTGTCTATGGCATTTCATTACAGCAGCTGGCCAGCTACGGCCATCTCTCTGGGCTTCCGTTTTCTGTATGTATAAGGGTTGCACTAGATCACCTGGGAAACTTGACAGAGGTGTGAAGGGTTCCTGGTTCATCTACTGGCAAGGTTGCTTTGGCTGATTTGATGTTGGGCTACAGCGTAAGAAGCATGGACAAGGGTCCTTCTGCCAAAGAAAGTTTCAAGATGTAAAGAGAAGTGCCCAGCCCAGGCAACAAAAACTGCCTGGTGGTGTTCCGAGGAGGCAGGAGGCACATGGTGGCCATGGCAGTCAGGAGGACGCAGATGGAAGCTGAGATACCGGGAGGCCATTATCAGAAGTGTTTACTGTACCATCGTGGTCCTTGCCCTATCTAAACCTGCCTTGGCGCGCCACGGTATTCTGTGTCATTTCCCGCCAGTATCTACCACTGAGCAGGAACAGTGTGATGATGGTCGGTTCCTGGCATCCCTGAGCTGATTCGGGAGCAACAATCCTCGTTTGCCCTGGCCCCCCTGGAATGAGAATCCAAGGCCCCTCTGGGGAGGGTGGGCGGGGGGCCCCCTGGCAGCTGGGGCTGAGACAAGGCAGCCGCTTTGTTCTGAATCCACAATGGCAGGATGCCCAGCACAGGGCCAGCTTCCTCCGAGGCAGGGCAAGGGGGTGGGAGCCGGGCCGAGGGCATGCCCTGGGGCCCTGGCTGAGCAGGGGAAGCCTGCAGGGCAGGAGCGCACAGCAGAGAAGCCTTGGGAGAGGAACTGGGAGGCACCTGGAGCGAGCCAGTCTGCTCACATGGCTCAAGGACCTAGTAGGTTTGTGAAATAAAATTCATGCCTTATGGCAAGACAGGACCAAGCTAAACATGGTAAACTCTTCTCTGCCTTTCTGACCCCTCCCCCCGCACTGTGCATTCTGCATCTGCACATACGCATCAACCGGAACACTCCATCAGCAGGAATACCTTCCCAACCACAAAGAGCAGCATTTCTCCCAGCATCAAGACAACTCCTCAAAAGATAACGCTCCTTCTTGAAACTTGTAAGGGGTCACATGATCCACCACTGCGATGCTTAGACCCAGATTACGTGAACTGTCAATAATATGTCATTTGATGTACAGCCCTCTGTCTCAAAAATACTTACATAACTGTTTCCTGACGTCTAACAGGCAGAACAATTCTCAGAGCTTTCTGAGATGCTCTTCCCAGGTTACAGTCTTCAAACTCAGTGCAAATAAAAATTTTCATTTCTTTCTTAGATCAACTGGTTCATTTTTCATCCAGTCTCAGGCACTATCGCTAAGCACTTGTCCCATGTTAGCCGCTGCAGCCTCCCAGAGCCAGACGGGCTGGTGAGACTCTGCCCCCGCCTGCCCCTTAACACACAAGAGGCACAGGAGGGGAAAACCCCTGCCCAGGATCACACAGCTCAGACATGCCAGGGCTGGGGTTCGAACCCAGGTCCGACCCCTGCTTTTGACTGGCGTGATCTCCCGCCCACTCCATCCACACCAGGTTATGCGCTGGTGCGGGGGAGACGGCGCTGAGCAGACAGCTCAGTGACAAACCAGTTCTGAGAGCGGGCCGTGCCGGCGGCCCTGCCCGGAGAGGTGCAGGGAGCTGGGGTGAGCTTCGACTGTGGCTGTGAACCCAGACGGGTGTGGGGTGGGGAAGGGTGGGGTAGGGAACCGCCCCCAAGGAAGGTGACATCTGTCATCCCGAGAAGGCCTCCCAGCCGGGACTCCCTCCCCAGAGGGAGGCTGGGGAGGCCAGGTGACTCCCCAGGAGGCAGCAGGACAAGTCGGAAGCAGAGCCCAGAGGGCTGTCCGTGGAGTCACCGCCTAGGCCCCTCACTGTGAGGTTCTCTGTGAAGCCAGGGGAAACCAGACAGGCCAGAGGTGAGAGAGGGGATCAGGACACCCCCAGGCTTCCTGACCCCCAGGCCAGTGTCCACCGCGCCCACTGCAGCAGGGAGTGATTAGGAGGGGGGTACCTCCGACTCTGAGGGAAACACCTCAGTGCTGGGTGGTCCCCAGTTCAAACACTGCTCCAACTCCCCCCTGCCCCGCCACCCCCACCAGGGACGGGCTTTGATCAGACAGGAGGCTCAGTCTGAAGCCAAGCATTCCCCGGGGCCCAGGGTGCTGCAGGAGGCGCCTTGAAAGGGGAAGGGTCCTGAGGACCAGGGGGGCACCGCCCGCCAGAAACCATCCGTCCTCTGTCCTGTCTGGCCGAGCCTCAGGGTGGAGCCCGGAGGTATCCAGGCTGCACCAGAACAGGGCTGGGCTGCTGGCTTCTCTGACTCACACGGAGGGTGGGTGTCCAGTGACTCAGCCTGGGTCCACTTCCCCTCTGCTAGACCCGCCTGCACAGAGGCCAGGGCAGGCAACCCCTCACCAGCCCTGCCTCTGCCTGGTACTCCCCAGGCCCTCGCTGCCCCCTCCCCATCCTGGGGCCGGCCCTCCGTGTAGCCCTGACCACGAATTCCGGCTACATGAAGGAATGAATGAGTCTTCATTGAGTCCCGGTCTGGCCAAGCTCCCATCCTCCCATTTTGCAGATGGGCCTCAGAGGGAATGGGTGACTAGCTCACGCTAGGGACCAAGCCCACTGGCCCCATCGTCCCCTCTCCACCCCTGGCCCTGCCCACCAGGTCCTCACTGGAAATCCTCTCCCCGGGGATCATCAGCCCATTTTGCAGATCTGGAAACTGAGGCTCAGAGAGGGGAGGTACCTGCCCCAGGCACAGTGAGGCGGGCAGAGTGGGATTAGGTCCCCAGTCTCTCTAACCCAGGCAGGGACCTTGCGGTTTTTAACAGGCGGCCTGCAGTACAGACAGGTGGGTGGCTGGAGTTAAATGCCTACAGCCAAGGGAAGGATGGCAAGTGAGACGGCTGGGCCAGGCCAGCTCCCTGCCGCTCCACCCCACCCGCCCCCCAGGGCTCCTCCTTCCATGGAACCACCCCATTCCTTGCTCTCTGTCCCTGGGCACAGCCCCTCACCCAGGCCTTTCCTTCCTTGGAATTCTTTTCTGGTTTTTCTTTTAGAGGAGAGTTGTACAGTTTGGGTTTTCACCCCCAGGCACGGGTTTAGCCATGAGAAGGGAGAAGCTGATGTAGCAGGAGGACCACAGACTGGGGACCAGCATGCTCGGAGACTCCAGTAGGCGGCCGGCGGGTCACGGGGGACCTGATGGAAGCAGGTGTGGATTGAAGGAGGCGCTGATGCTGGGAAAGACTGAGGGCAGGAGGAGAAGGGGTCGACAGAGAACGAGATGGTTGGATGGCATCACCGACACAATGGGCATTAAGTTTGAGCCAGCTCCGGGAGAGAGTGGAGGACAGAGGAGCCTGGCTTGCTGCAGTCCATGGGGTTGCAAAGAGTCGGACATGACTTAGCAACTGAACAATGACAGTGAAGGAGGGGAGAGGCCATGGGGCTGGGACTGACTTTGTCCCACTAGCATCGTGGAGCCACAGAGACCATGTGTTTTAAGAGATTCCCCTCGAGGCTGTGGGAAGGTGGTGTGCGGGGTCGGAGCAGCGGGCTGGGGGGCTGGCCAGGCCCCAGTGACGGAGGGAGGAGGTCCTTGTTTCTGGGTGGGCGGCTGCTGGGCCTGTGTTTCCTTGGCCACTACCCCACGGAATGACACAGATGTACAAGCGAAAATAGTTTATTTGAGGACGGAAGACCCAACGTTGGGGGGCCCAGGGCTGAGGCCACAGCAGCCGCCTGGAGTTGGCACAGACGACCCTAGCTCCCCAGGGAAGCCCAGTAGCAAAGATGCCCTTCCCTGGGCCCCCTAGCTGCCTCCCCCACTTCCTGGAGGAGGGATTGTGCGACCGCCAAGAATCATCGCCATCATCACCACCATCACCGTCAGAACGTTGGTGAGGTTTTCCGAGCTTAGCCAGCAATTTTCAGCACAGTACTTGACCCTAATCGTCCTAAGTACTCTGGCAACCACAGCGACTGTGCCTGGACCCACCATCCAGTGGTGAGTGGGGTCTGTGATGGGGAGAGGCAGGCGGGGAGAGGAGCCGGGGCTCTCTAGGAGACCCCACTGCAGCCTCCACAGCGACCCCACAGGAAGACCCGTCTCCCCCGACGGCCCCAGCGGCTGCCCGCTCTCCCATGGCCACGGGCCAAGGCTGGATTCGGGCCGGGGCGGTCCCAGGTGGTCCCTGTTCCCTCAGGTCTCAGAGACCCTTGCCAGGCTGTTCCCTCCGCCGGAAGCCCCGGCGGGTAGCCCAAGAGGCCACGAACTCGCAGTTGTGGTAAAGGAACATTCCAGAAAGCGTGAGCGCCACACCCAGGTAGCTGAGGGCGCTGAGGCGGCTGCCGAACAGCAGCCGGGACAGGACGAGGTTGCCCACGACGGTGAGGTTGCCCAGGACGTGGACCGTGAGGGCTGAGGTGAGGGCCAGCAGGGAGAAGCTGGCCAGGTTGTAGAGCACGGACAGGAGGCAGCTGAGCAGGACGCAGGCCCAGAGGCGGGAGTCGGCGGGGGCGGGCGGCGGCGCCACGCCGGCCTCCAGCACCAGGGCGGCGCCAGCCAGCAGGCAGAAGCTGGGCAGCGAGGTGGCGTAGAGCAGGGTCACCGCGTCCAGCCGCTCTTCCCGCAGCAGGGTACCTGCAAGCAGGGCAACAGCCGTCAGCACCCGGCGCCAGACGGCCCCCGCGGGGCCAGCCTGCCACGGCCTCCAGGAAGCCGCCCCAGCCCCGCCGGCAGGGCCAGGGGCTCCCGCTCTGTGACGGGGAGCTCAGGCCGCCTGGGCGGTGACCTGGCCCGCTCCTGGCCCGCTGTGACCTGGCCCTGAACCTCTGGAGGCCTAGGTTTCCTCACCTGCAGAGTCAGAGGATAATAAAGCCTTGTGCATGCTATGTCACTTCAGTCGTGTCCGACTCTGCGACCCTGTGGACTGTCCCCACCAGGCTCTTCCGTCCCTGGGATTCTCCAGGCAAGAAGACTGGAGTGGGTCGCCATGCCCTTCTCCAGGGGATCTTCCCAACCCAGGGATCGAACCCAAGTCTCCCGTGTCCCCTGCATTGGCAGTCGGGTTCTTTACCGCTAGCACAATCCTAGAAAGCCCCCACAAAACCTTAAATATGAAGATTAAAATAATGTACATAAAGCCCTTATCAGGTAAGCTGCAGTCAGTAAATGTAAAAAGACGAGAGAAATAAACCCGTTGTCACTGACTCCTCCCACAAGCTGAAACAATAATCTGTGATATCAATAAACGTGAAAAAAAAAAAAATCTTCAGGGGCTCCCCAAGCCCTGGAGAAAAACATCCTGGACTCATAACCAGCTTTGAAGGTGTTGAGCCAAGGGGCCCCAAGCCTGCTTTCTTGGCTTCGGCCGTTGTGGCACCCCCAGCCCCACAGTGTGGCTCCCACCTTGCTCCCTCCAGCACTCCCAGCTCTACCACGTACTAGCTATGTGGGCCTTTACGTTACAAGAGAAAGAGTTTGAAAATATTCAGAACCATCTGAGTCATGTGTTCAATCACTTGTGACCCCCGGGATGACAGACACAACAACGAGTTCATTGTTGTGCCCGGCTGTCACTCACTGTGTGTGTGTTTTGTGAAGATTTTTTTTTTAATGTGGACCATTTTTAAAGTCCTTATTGAATTTGTTACAATATTGCTTCTGTTTTATGTTTTGATTTCTTGGCCAAGAGGCACGTGGGATCTTAGTTCCCCGACAAGGGATTGAACCTGCACTCCCTGCCTTGGAAGGTGAAGTCTTAACCAGTGGACCAGCAGGGAAAGTCCCTGTCATTGACGGTTTACCGCAGATAGTGAGCACCTTGCACTACGGACACTGGAGCTTGTCAAGACAGATCGAGGACACAGAGGAAACCCTGGGCTTTGCATGGAAAGAGGGCATCCTAGCATCTTGCACGTGTGTGCCTGTGCGTGTGTGTGCACAGGCTACCACCCAGCTGGTTCACAAGGAAGCAGGATCCATCATAAAATCTCACATGGCTGAGCTGAAATGACAGTACTTGCAAAGAGGCAACGGTGGTTTTGTGCCTTCTCCAAGTTTTCGGGGAGAGAGATGAGTAAGGTCTCCCCACCCCCTCCCAGGGCTCTCTCAGCCTCTATGTGTTTTCTGACACACACTTTCCAGAGAACCACAGAGGCGCTTACTCATAGGCTATGCTTAGAATAGGAAATCTTATTTCTCTCTCAATTTCAGTTTGATGTTTTGGCTTTGTTCTCTAGGCAACAGTCCTGTCAAACATTTCTAGAAATGAACAGATAACTGGAATGCCTCCTGTTTGGCTGCTCCAAATTTAGCACCATTACGAGCTGCCTGTGGCCTACATGTTCAAGGTGCAATCACTGGAAGGTGGTTAGGATTGCAGGTGAACTTCACTTTTGGCGAATTTCATTCTCTGAGAGGCAGGCAGGCAGGTTCTAACTTCCCCACTCGGCCCCGTGCACCTGTTCTGTAATCCGTCCAGCCCTCCACCTCCCCCTGTCCCCGACACTGTCCCCTCCAGCCCAGGAAAAGAGCCAGTTACCCACCAGCCTGTCATCCAGCCTCCTCAGCGACCCCTCCCCTGCCTGCTTACCCCAAACCCTGCATTTCAACCTCTCCTCCTCCAAAGCCATTTCCGTTTCATCATCTGAACACGCCACACTTCAGCCACATGCAGACTAACGCCCTCTGGACACCGTTCTGCTGGCTTCAGGCTTATCCCACCTCTGCTCCATCACGAGCTGTGATATCACACACGTCATCCTCTCTCTACGCCTGTCCCCTCGCGGGAGCATAGGCAAAGTGACAACATGCCCTCACCGGGGCGTGTGAGGTGCTGAGCACAGGACCTGTGCCCAGGGGCAACTGCTGCCCATGGTGGCTGTCATGACCCCCTACGTACAACCCTGCTGGCTGACACCCGCACCCTGGCAGGGCTTGCGTCCCGCTCCCAGAATGCCCTTTCCTGCTCTGGCCGTGTGAAGAACTGGGCACAGCATGGGCCTATACTCAGGGCTCGGCTGTCACCATCACTGCCTGCCTCCTCCCCCAGGCAGTCTTCTCTGGTCTCCCCAAGAAGTAGCCATCCCAATCACAGCTGTGCCCACCTTGGCTCTAGCACTTTCCTCCCTGCTTTGTGATCGCTCCTTCTGAGGGTGTCTCCCCACCAGCCTGAGAGCTCAGTGGATGGGGATGGGGTCAACCTGATGCAGGTGGGTGCAGCTAAGGACAAGTCTCAGCACGCTGGCACCCCATCTCCCAGCCTTTCTGTGAGTGGAGAGGCAGATCACTCCTCTCCACGTGTGGTCCCCCCAGGCCTGCAACTGGCCCAGGAAGGAGGGAAGCTGCTGGGCACTCCTCTTCCTGGACTGTCACCCTTTGCTCCCTTGGAGTCTGCCATCAGGAAAGGAGCTGCTGTCAGTCACTCACATTCTAGTCTAAATTTGGCCCTGGTGACTTTCCTGGAAAGTCTGAGAGTAGTAAGCTTCTCTTGTCCAAAACCCACCTCATCCCTTGACTCCAGTCTGTTCTGACCCACATTTGCGCTGGGCTCCCATCTCTGTTAATGGGGCCTCCAGCCTCCTAAGCTCTCCCCTAAGCATCCTGAGTCAAGTAGCTTAAGTAGCCTACCAATTCTTCATCAGACCATTAATAAATTCACCATTTACGTGGTACCTTACCTGCGCCAGGCCCCAAGTCAAGTGCTGGGGACGTGGAGCTGCCCCAAAGCTAGGCCATGCCCCCTCGGAGCTCCTGCCTGGTGGGAGGCAGACAGGTAACCAAGTGGCTATAATACCAATACAAGGCACGTGGAGACCTGATGGGGGATGCAGAGGGCCCTGTGGGAGCCCGGAGCAAGCATCCAACCTGCCTCAGGGGCAGGCAGGCGACAAGGAGGGAGCTGGCAGAGCCGAGGAGCAGCCTGGTGCCAGGCACCTGCCAGCCCCTGTCCATGTGCCCAAGGCCTGGATGGCTACAGCCTGTCCTGCTGACCGGGGCTCCTCTGGGGTGAGAAGGCTGGACCTCAGCGGGTGTGGTGTGGGCCTTAGGTTGAGGCCTTCCCAGCCTTCTGGCCCTGCTCAGGGTGGGGCACAAGGTCAAGTTTCCCACTGACTCATGCCCAGAGCTCAGGCCCCAGCTCTCAAGTAACCTGAAGGCAAAAATAGAACTGGGCTCTGGCCCTGCCTCAGGGCCCTGGAAGATGGGGACAGGGCCTCTGGGTCCTGATTCCAGGGCAGGCCTGAGCTCTGACTTCAACCTTTCCTGGCTGCAGGCTGCCCTAACCCCAGCCCAATGACCTTGGAGCAACCCTTTCCCTCTTCCAGGCCTGGGTCATAGGATCTCAGAGCAGAAAGGGCGGGAGAGCAAGAAAGCCCTCTGACTCTATCAACTCTGACCTCTTCCACCAAAGAGATAGGGAGACTGAGCCCAGACAAGATCCAGATCCGTCCCAGGTCACCCAGGAAGTATGAGCCCACACGTGGCTGGAACGCAGGCCTCCCTACTCTGAGTGGGCGCAGAGACAGGGTGGGGGCTGTGACTCAAAAGAACCCTCAGTAGGACAAGCAGGAAAGTGATCTCCATCCTCCAGCAGAGTGATTTCGCAGGGTCTGGGTTTGGAGTCTCCGCCCTATCCTCTGCCCAGAGCCCCCCAACCCTCTTCCATCAGAGCTGAGGTCCAGAGTCACATGGACCAGGATTCCAGTCCTTTGGAGCTGTGTGACTCTGGACAAATCATGAATTTCTCTGGGTCTCAGTTCCATCATCTGTAAAATGGGGATGAAAGTAGTGGTTGCCATGACAACTCAAAGTCAACACCTAGCATAGGGCCTGTTACACTGCAGCTCCCAGAAGACACCACCCCTTCCCAGATTTAGCAAGCCCCACTTCCAAATCCTGGTTTACCATCTTGCCCTCTTTCTCTCCCACCAGTTCCCACTGTCAAGCCTCCCTCTGTGTCCACAGTCTTATGCCACATCTCTAGGACAGCATGGACTGTGCCTGAGTGAAGTGAAAGTCACTCAGTTGAGCCTGACTCTTTGGAACCGCCATGCACTGTAGCCCGCCAGGCTCTTCCATACATGGGATTCTCCAAGCAAGAATACTGGAGTGGGTTGCCATGCCCTTCTCCGGGGGATCTTCCCCACCCAGGGATCGGACATGGGTCTCTTGCATTGGAGGCAGATTCTTTACAGTTTGACTGGGTTCAGATCTTGCCTCCGTGGCTTACTTGGCCCAGGGCAAGCGCCTCTACGTGTCAAATGGAGACAAAGCCAGTTGGGCCTCTAGAGCCCAAGTTTGGGGCCTGGAAATCACTGAGCACTTGGCCCTTTCTGAGCCTCAGTTCCTGACTCTTCCAAAGCCACGTGCCTCAGTTTGGTCATCAGTAAAATGGGATAGCAGCCATACCCCCTCACAGGGTGCCCCAGGCCACATTCCCACACTCCCACCCGGGTCCCCACCGCCTCAACCAGTGACTTAGGTTACTCACTCTGCTGAATGGACTTGAGGCCACGGAGGCAGGTGGCCGCCAGCAGGAAACCGCAGCCAGCCGGGGGCGTCCGGAGCTCTCCGGCCAGGCTGCAGGCGGCCCCCAGGCAGAGCGGGCCCATGGCCGCAAACTGCAGCGGGTGGTGGCGCCGGCCGAGCAGCAGCGCGGACAGGGCCAGCGTGATGAGCGGCGTGGTGGTGGTGGCCAGCTGCGCCAGGTCCAGGGGCACGGCGCTCAGGCCCACGTTGCCGCAAGCCATTGAGATGCCGAAGGTGAGGCTGAGCAGCAGTACCTGGCGGCGGGTCTGCCCGGGCAGGGGGCGCCGCGCCCCCCGGTGGCAGGCCAGTGCGGCCGCCAGCATGTGCAGCGCCGACAGCAGCAGGGGCCGCCCGAAGCCGTGCACTGTGAAAATCCACTTGTTGAGGCTCGACATGCTGGCTCCCGCCAGCAGCCACACCAACGCAGCCACGGCCACCCGGGCCCGGCCAGGCCGCCGAAGGGCCTGCGGGGTGTCAGGGGGCCACTCGGCGGACCCGGCCCACCGAGCGCCGCCAGCCACCGCCACTGCCTCGGCAGAGGTCATCCTGCTGTCATGGTGCTCCGGCGGGCAGCGGCACATGGGTACCAGTGGGGCCGCGGCAGGAGGCCGGCTCCCCGGTGACCAGCTCTGGGCCACCAGAGAGCCCCACCTTGGACCCGCCCCGTCTCAGGCAGGTGCGGGCACAGCCTCTGGCGCCCAGCCTGCGGTAGCGGAGGTCNCGCCCCTCCCTAACCCCACCCCCTCCTCCGTCTCCCAGCCCCCTGGAGGGCGGGCCCCCCTCCAGACAGGCAGAGGGAAGCTGAATCACCGCGGCCACCCGCAGCTGCGGAAGCAGGGTCCCGCCGGCCGCTCTATCCCTGGCCAGCAGCCCCTGACCCATCCCCTGGGTACTCAGAGCTGACTCATAGCTGAACTTTCCTGGGGTCCACCCTCTGCCCCTGCTGGCAGGACAGAGCTCTAGGTGGGCCGGGAGCCAGAGCAGCTGCCACTAAGCTTTTGCCCCTGCCTGGGTCTTGGCTTTCCCATCGGAACAGACGGGCTGCTCTCTGAGCTCAGGGCTGGGTAAACAGCAAACCCCAGAAGCAGGACAGACTGATCGGAATTCCAAGCTGGGAACTCCTGTCTGAGCTCTGGGGTCCAAGTGTGCAAGGATCACAGGTGCCCACGGCCCTCTGTGAGTGAGCCCCTTTGCTGACAGCTTCCTCCTCCGTGGAAGCTCCTGTCCCCTGGGGCACGGTTCACCCCCCACAGCCTTTTTGTCTGACCGGCAAGCCCTTGATGACAGCAACCTGTCTGGAGGAACGAGACCGCACAGGGGGAGCGCTTAGCTCGGTCCGTGGAGCCCTCTGGTGGTCAGAGTGCAGAATGGCTGCAGGTGTCCCCTAATCCCCATCGCAATCCTTGGGCTGAAATGAAAAACCCCCAGCCTGGCTGTTGATTCATACCAGCTGAATCAGATACCCTCTGGTGTGTCCAGAAATGTGTTTTTTTCATTTGCCTTTGGTAATTCTGAGACCCGCAAGAGCCTGCAAATAGTCCAAATTGTAGGGCAGGAGATTTCAAGACAAAGGACCAAAATATGCAGGAATTAATATTTAGACAGGGTTTCTCCAGGAGGGGTTATGGGAGGGAAACTGAGCCAGACAAGGGGCAGCTCCCCTCCCCCGACATTTTCTGAAGAGGAGGAATCAGGGCCCCTATGGGTTAGATTATTTTTGAGATTTTTGTCAGTTTNGCGCCTCAGCCTTCCTGTCTGTGATCTGCCGTGGGCTCACAGGCTTCACCCGCGGCGCCTGCCCACAGCTGTGGTCTAGGGAACAGGTGGTGTGAGGGGACGTGGCTTGTCTGCAGTCTCTAAATGTGGGGCAGACGCAAACCTGGGCCCCATTCCCAGGGAGGGCACCTGCTTACCACAGTTCTTTTCCTTTTTTTCACTTTTTGGCCTCGACCAGGGCTCGAACCCACGCCCCACGCAGGGCAAGTGCAGAGTCTGAACCACTGGATGACCAGGGAAGTCCCCATCGGATCCATACTGTGGACGTGACTGTCCTCACCCACCCCCTCTCAGGGTCCCTGCGGATGGAGCCAGACTGGACACCTGACCCAGTGCCCAGGGGTCGGCTGTGCCGGTCGGACCCTTCCCCAAGCTTTGGGACACAGGCTGAGAAAATAAAAGGGGGCTGGCAAACCAACCGCGCTCAGAGGAAGCTGACCGAGCGGGCGGCCGAGGAGACGGCCTGAGTGGGTGCGGGGCAAGGACCGAGCTTCCCAATGGCCACCGCCCCGCCCCCACCTCTGAGGCCCTCCCTTGGTGGGCTGAGCAGGATTCAGTAGCTTCCTGCTTCTTAGAGCCAAACACAGCCCACCAAGACAGTCCCTCGGGAGGGAGGACCACACCCAGACTGTGGACCACCGAGGGTCCTTTACATCAACCCCCCAGCCCATAGCCTGGCCTGGGGCCCGCCCCAGCCGGCACCCCCCATGGGAGGGGCCTGGCTTCCTGGGGTTGGGGGGGCGGCAAGGCAGTGCAGGGGCAAGGGCTGGGGTCGGTGGGTGAGGGTCTTGGCACTGACACCCCTGTGTGACCTGAAGCCAGCCGCAGACGTCTCTGAGCCTTCACCTTTCTGTGAAGGGGTCACAGGGCTGGTCCTGAATCCGACTCTGGAGCACCCTTGGCCTAGATCAAGGCGGGACAGGGGAGCCAGCACTCTGCGGGGCTGGGCGTGGATATTTCACCTTAAACACAGAGGTCCTGTTTTCATTTGGCTTTCAGATCCTTTGATGTTCGCTTTTTTCTGATATGGACTACTTTAAAGTCTTTACTGCATCTGTTAAAATGTTGCTTCTGTTTTATGATTTGGTTTTTTGACTACAAGGCACGTGGGATCAAACCTGCACCCCCTGCATTGGAAGGCGAAGTCCTAACCGTTGGCCCACTAAGGAAGTCCCTTCAAAGCATTTCTTAAACTGCCTGCTTCCCTAGCCTGCCCAGACCCTAAACACTGGAGGAAGAAGCACGTGTTTCATCTATGGTGCTGCCGACTCCATGAGTCACAGTAAAACCTGACGTGCTGTCAGAGGGCCCTCCCAGGGCAGCCCTCTTCCTAACCTCGGTGAGAGGGCGCTGACGGGGTGCCTCCCTGGCCTGAAGCCCGCTTTCCAGAGGGGAACCTAGAACCCAGCCCTTCCCGCTGACAGGCGGGGTCACCACCCCACTGGCAGCTGAGGCCCTGACAGTCCTCTGAGGAAGAGCTCGGGGGTCCCCGGCCTCCGGTTGAATTTGGACTCTGCCATGTAATCCCTGCCACTGCCAACTAAAAAGCGCCACTTGCCTTCTGCCTCTTCAGGGATTAAGTCACTAGCCACTGCAGGCGCTGACCTTCAACACACCATGGAAGGACTTCAAGGTGGAGATCGAGAATGCGGTTCTCTGTGCTCTGGGAAAAACTGGAAGAACAGGCCACCAGGTAGATATTTTCAGGAGATTTTACGAGCCTCATTCTCGCATCTGCTCGTATCTAGAAAAGCACTAAGATCATTAATGGAGCCACCTGCTCCTCGTGGCTAGCAGTAACCTTCACGAGATGAGCAGGAAGCTTCTCCCAAAGTGTGCTCTTAACTGCACATACCTCCTTCACTAAAATCTCATATATATAGGGGCAGTTTTTCAGAGCTATCTAAAATTCTGCCTCCCAGGCCATAGTCTTCATTTTGCCCCAAATAAAATTTAACTCCCTACTCTCATGTTACACTTTTTTTTTTAAGTCAACACAATCTTTGAGGACCCTGGTTTTGGTGTTTGTGTGGAAGAGCCTGGAGGCCTCCCCAGGTCTGTCTGTCTCCTAAATGGACACCCCACACCCCAGCCCCGGGCCACTTTGGGCAAGTCACTCTCCCTCTCTGAGCACCAATTTCCTCATCTGAAAGCAGAGAGGAAAAGAGAAACATCCAACCTCAGAGTTGTGCAAGAAAGCATCTAGCAAGTACACACCCCTAAACAGTCATTGGCGTCACCACCGCCAGCCTCGGTCCCCCAGGACCCAGAAGGACGCTCACTCACCCTCCTCTGCTCCTGGCACCGGCACTGATTCTGAGCTCAAGGCATCAGGACGCTGGGCCACGTGCACAATCAGCTCTTTAATCATTTTGGAGGTGGGCTGAGAGCTCTGCAGAGACCCTCACCAGCCACTACAAGGCAGCCGGCTCTGGGGCGCAGCCTCAGTGATAGAGTGAAGAGCTGGGGTCAGGGCTGCAAGGCTGTCCTCGAGGCACCCCCAGTTCCAGAGCGAGGGGTACTCACCAGGCCAACAGCCAGGGAGGAGTCCAAGACGTTTACGCCCTCCAGCCTGTGAGTAACCTTCACGGGACCCCCGCGGGGCCAGGTGGGACCAGACCCAGGCAGACAGACCTCCTGGGGGAGGTGCCGAGCTCCCTGTTCCAGGTGGGCAGTGGTTTAGGACCCCCGCGGGGCTGGTGGCTGTGGGATCCAGGGACAAGTGTGCAAGAGAAGGCAGCAGGAGCAGGCGTGTGCCCATTACCACGGTGTCTGGAGGGGGGGGCGGAAGACCAGGAAGGGTGGGAGGCAGTGGGGTGGGTGAGCTGGGGGGCTACCAGCCAACCAGCCTCAGCTCGATGGTCTCTCCATCCTTGGGTCTATAGTCAGCAATACCTGCAGAAATAGGTTGGGGGAGGTGGGGTTAACAGGGCAGAATGTACCCTGTCCCAACCTCACCTTCTAGACCCCTGCCCTGTAAAATGGGCTCAGGGCTCAGTGGTGGGAAACCCAGGTTCTGAGCAGAACCAGTCCGGAGACTCCAAACTCAGTGTGACCTCAGGGTTGCTGAGACCCACAGGCTCACTTTGCAATGGGGAGCCCTCCAGGGGGGGTGAGGGCATGGGATGGCACCCTAATAACCACCATGGGCCCAAAGGAACCAGAGACCCTGACAGTGATGGGCAGGGTCAGTGTCTTCACGGTCCCCCCGAGGGGCCATCTTGGAGAGAAGAGGCACCTGCTTGGGGAGGTCTGGGGAGAAGCAGGACCACGAGTGAAGTCAGCCTTCACTCACGAGGCACATCCAGGCTCCAGCACGACTCCCGGATTCAAGCCCCAGCTCTGCACTCACAGTGTTGTGATTCTGGGCAGGTTATGTAACCTCTCAGAGCACTGGTGCTCCCATTTCTAAAACGAGGGTAGTAATGATATCAACAACCCAGCCCTCCTTTTTTCCCCAGGGGAGTGGGCTTCTTGCTGGACTGGGGACACCACCACCCACGTCTGCCTCGTGGCTGAGTCCATCAGGCTCTCCCCCTCGACTACCTCCTCCGTCCAGCCTTTATCAGTAATAGAGGCCAGATCTGGTCTCTCCATCTGTAGCCTCTTGGTTTTATTTCTCAATTTGTCCAGAAGCCAGGCAGGGAGAAAGATGGTTTTTTACTGGGCTCCCTCAGGAAGTCCCACCTTCTGTAAAGCACTTGGTCCAATCCCCTGGCACATGGCAAGTGCCCACTAGAAGTCCCAGATAGCAGGAGCGGGGACAGATGATCCTTAACAGTTTTTCCAATGATGGGGCTGATGCTCAGGGATACTATGACAGCGTGGGGCATAAGAGTTAAAACTGGAGACCTGCTAAAGGCCCAGGG